AGTATCTTTTTCCAACCACGTTTCAAACAAACAGATTATATCAAACATAATTTCTGAGGGATTTAAAAAAATAGTAAGTTCATTAAAATGTTTATGAATACTTCGAATATTCATGCTTAGGACTAAACAATCATTATTATTTTTGACAATATTATTTAAGTTATTTATAATCTGCGTACTATATTTTAAATTACTATTAACATTTAAAAAATTAAAATCTAAATTTTGAAAATTATTCATCTAAAGTAGGTTTAGTATATTTTGTAGAAAACTCGATAGTTTAGCATTTTTACCAGAAAACAAAGTTTTAGAGGGAATGGATTTTTTAAGAACAATTATGCCACCGGAGGCAACAGATTTAGTCGATTATTTTGATACCACGTATGTCCATGGGTCTTACAGAAGTGTTCAGCATAATCCGAATAATGGTATCAGACTTCGAAATATTGCACCGCTCTATCCACCATCAATATGGAATGTCTATCAAACTACACTTGATAATGGACATCGAACTAACAACGAAACAGAAGGGTGGAACCATCGTTTTTCAAAATTAGTAGACCACAATCATCCTTCTATTTGGTCATTAATTAAGAAAATGAGATTAGAGTTACCTTCAGATGAAACAAAGTTAGCCCAATTCGTAGGTAATAGGCAATTTAAGTAAAAAAAAAAAAAAACTTATGAAAAAATGCAAGAAAAAATTGTATAAAATATGTAGTGATGGCTTAACACAGCGGACAATAAACGAATATTTAACAGCTATTTCTTACACAATACGATTATTTTAATTATTTATTATTTTATATAATATTTTTAAATTGTAAATTTTAACTTTTATAAATTATATTAATTATTGTATTCAATTTTAACATAATTATATTATTATTTATTATAAAATGTACAAGTAATTTTGTAGTTGAAAATTCATATGATACTTGATTTAAAATTCGTCTTTTTTATCAATGTCTTTTTTATCTGTGGATTTTTTATCCCATAGCTTTTTTATCAATGAATTTTTTATCCATGGCTCTTTTGTCCATGGTTTTTTTATCGGTGGCTTTTTTATCCAGTTACCCCTTGCTAGGTACCTATATCGTAGTAATCTTAATAATACACCGCTTCAGCATACTGGATAAACCAGTGACGGATTAGCTCCAGAACACTTCCGCAGTCTCTTTAATATATTGTTTTAAAGGTTTTTGCAATTTCAATCTTTGCTTGTTGAGCAGGGTGCTGATGAGTGATGAGTCATAACTTTGAGCTTTAATAGTAGTGTAGTGTATATAAGTAGAGAATATATTATGGATAGTTATAGAATCCTTTTTATTACATATACATGTACAATGGTTTTTTCCTAGGACAGTTGAGTAAGACTGTAAGAGGACGTCACACCCGCATGTGTTGTCTCCATCACACGTACGACATAGCAAATTTTCCTTCGCTATTTTCAATAGGGACATTGCTGATAGGTCATAGGGTAGTATTTTCAGTTTTTATATTAGAATGAATTGATCTATTATCAAACTCTTAATTTTATTCAAGGCATACCTATCAACCATATTAGTATTATTATTTAGTAATTTAGTCAAAAATGTATTGACTACAGGTCAGTTTTATGGTTTAAATTAAAATATATATAGGTACCTTGATAGTTATTATTATCTATACCTACATAATATATTATATTATACATGATATAAATTTGTTAATTTTGTAAAGTATCAGCTTATACTGATTTATATATCACTAGGTAGTAGGTATAGGTATTAAATATTTAGTAACTTAGATATCTATAAAGCATAAAGGTGGTCCATATATTGACATAGGTAGTGTTAGGTAGGATGCCTAAGTTGGGCCATTTGAGTTATGTATACAACTTTATGTAACTATAGTCAATAAATAAATACTGTATTTTTTAATTAAATAAACATATATGCAATACATCATTAAATAAACAATAAATCAATAAATAAACAATAAATCATTATAATATATTTATTTAATAGAACTCCTTAATTGTATAAAATATAAAATTATAAAAAAACATGTTGTAACTTATATTATATAAAAAAATTTTGTTTTATCTTTTGTTATTTTGTGGTTGATTGAATGGAAATAGTTAGGTAGGTACTGTAGGTACTACACATTTTACATCTGGCTCGTAGAAATTGTCCATAACTTTTTTTGAGATTTAGCTCGTCGTTTATTGATGTCTTCAATTCAGATTTGATTTAAGCTTCCTGTGACATAATAATATAATATTATATTCATACAATTTATGAACAATAATCCAATAAATGAATCAAAATGTTGTAAAAGGTAGGTAGTGTAGATGAATCATAATTTAGTCTTCATTAGTATAACTAGCTAGTGCAGCGGTTCTCAAACTATATGGTACGCACATAACCAGTGGCGGTAGATTTTTTGGGGGAGAGGTTTACAACCCCTAAGCTGACCCCCCTGGACAAGGGACACGACACGGCAGCAACACACTATAGTGGTACCTACGCAGAAGACTACATGTTGGTACTCAAAAGGCCACACGGTGGTAGAACATAGAGTAAACAAATGAACATTTTTAATTGTGTTTGAACATTGAAACAGTTAATAAATAAATTGAAAATAATTTTACTTATAATAATATTATTCTATACAATATACGATGTACATTATTATTTTTATCTCGTCTCATAATTTAAATAAAAATTAAATATTTTATTACTAATACATATTTAATTTATTAAAAATAATATATTTTTATTAATAAATAAAAAATAATTATATTGCATTAATTTACTGCTATATTATTTGAAAGAAATAATTTATGATTTTGAATATCTCTATTCTTACATATAAATGCTAGTATAATATAATAATTATTATTATTTAATATTTGAATGTATTTATTTTTTTACCTATGTGGCCAAATGGCTATAGATATCAGGGACTGACTGGGACCCAGTTGGCCCACTATTAATAGCCCTATACTGGCTATACTGTTACAACATAAACTTTTAGAACTTAATTCTGGACTTTTGATTACTGCCCAATCACCATGATCAACAGACGATAAATGTTTTTAAAATTAAAATTTATTAGAGGCGTAGGTAATATTAATTTGTTTGCTACTTTTATTGTACTTAAAATCTTAAATAATAGATAAAATGTAGATGTAATAGATTGATCATTTTTACTCAGGTACACAATAATATAAGGAATTATTAATTGTTTGAGTATGTAACTCATAATAAACTTATTTAAGTAGGTACAACTATTTATATTTTATTTAGAATTTAGATAATACTTGAAGCAACCGAAGATTGTATTGAGTCATTCATTGGCTACAGCCATATTTTTTGGTTGAAACAAATTTTTTGATACTCTAACGCAGTTTATTTTTTTAAGTACTTTGGTATATTAAAATCAAATTTTGGAAGAGTAGTTTATGGGTTTAAGCCCTAAAAAATGCATTTTAACCCAAATTATAATGTCCTTAAAAAATCACCAAAAAATTGTTTTAAATATTTTTAAGCAAACAAAAATTCGAACTAATTTAAATAAACCCGATTATGATGTAGGTAACATCATCTGACCAATTACTTGTTAGGTAGGTACCTACTTACTGGTCCGGAATACATATAACAGCCGTTAAACTTAAACTGTAGATAAATAAAGACGTTACCGATGTATTGAAAATTGAAATCATAAATCGTATGTATGATTGACACATTATGAATGGTCGGAGAGCTCGGAACAAAATATTTTAAATTATGTGACAATTAATTTTAGTTCAATAATGTATAACACGTATAAATGTGAACTAAAAAAAAAAATTAACAAAATTAGGTACCTAAAAATGATTGCTTAAAAAACGCCAAAACTGATAAAAATGAAAAATAATAGTTTAAGTTTTCAGTTCTTTGATTTATGAAACGGATTTTGTACTTGAAAAGCATTGCTGGGAACTTTATAAAAAATAATGCATTTTGCATTAAAATGTTGGGCCTATAGTTATAACTTATAAGTATTTCAAGTTTGGTAGAGCGGAGTGGATCATGTTGGTCTACTACCATTTACTAAAATAAGGTGTTCTAAATAAAAGATGTCCTGAAAAAATTGTTAACAATAATAATATTATACTAGGTGGATTATTTTTTACCAGCCCGGGGGACATAATATGGCCCAGTGTGCAATTGCACAGTAGCACAGTCCACCCCTGGGCTATAATATTTGACATGTAATTAAGCTTTTTAGGACAGATATAAATGGAAAAAATAAATAAATACATAGATATTTAAATCAGTTAATCGAAATTTCTTTCGATCTTTGTTTTTTATTCTCTTTGATAATATTGATATCTTTGAAAAAATGATTACTATCGGAGTAATTGTCTGTCGTGTTAATATTTCCATAGTAAGTTTTTTTTTTTTAAATATCGGAGTTAAATTATTTGAAAACAAACTGATATCGTATCATAATTATATCGAAGCAATAATAGTTTAAATAATCGGTGTATTATCATATCGTAACAATAGACGTTAGTGGCAGTAGTAGCAACCCGATTAATATACTATATATATTAATCGTATATTAATCCGTGGTTTCAGCTAAGAGCATATTTTTAATGCTGTTTGAATTCTGTCTACACTGATTACCGAAAATTGTTTCACCGAATTTTGAGTTTTTACTACTTTTTAGTGATCTATTGACCATTGGGCCAACGAGGTTTATAGATCGGTCCATCGGGTTGTTTTGTGATTGTATTATTATATTTTGTTGTGGTATTTACTTGTGGATGTCCCAAAATTTTGACATATTGAAATTTGAATTCTATCCACGATTAAAGGTATATAAGTAAATAAAATATAAATTAAAAGTATAATATAATCTTTAATCATGATCTATACCACAGAATAATTTATTCTGTGATTAGGTTAGCTAACCAGTTACAATAATCTAAGACCGTGGTTACAACTGATATAGTGAATAGTGATAATATGATAATATTATGTGGACTATCTGAGTATATTTTGGCAACAAACTCTGAAAACAACAATACATTACTACTTCAAAAGTTCAAACCTCCAGATATTTCAGCTTTCAGCAGGTAAGACTAAACAGTTTATTCAGTTTTAATTAAAGATTTGATGATCAATCTAATGTAATAATTCCTCACATATTTTGACTATTTTGATTTTGATTTTCATATTCTCTTCTCCTAGGTACACCATACACCACAATGGTCAATGACACTGATTAATCATTCCAAAAATCCCCATAATATAAAATGGATACTTTTATGTGTGGTCTTTCATTCAAAATCATTAGCTACAAAAAATAACATGGTTCGCTGAAATCAAACATTTTTAGGGACATTTAAATCAAAATGTATCAATGTTTTTTTTCCTTTTATTTGCGATGCACCCATTAGTGATCAAAAAATTAATAAAAGCCTTCTTTTTTATTTACTTTGTTTTCTTAAACATAATTAACGTTTTTCAAGATTGAATCCTACCTTGATTACTCGGTACTCTTGTCAGTCTAAGATTAAATAATTGATTTGCTAGGGTCCGTATTATGATCACGGCTGTATTCTACAGCCATGGTTATGATTTGACACATTATGTTAATAGTACAACAATATAATGTTTTCTTTTTCAATGCTTAAGCATTAACTTCTTAGGTCTTTGTTGGTAGATCATAATTTCAATGCCCATAATAAAATATACTGTAATATAGGTAGTCACAAATTTCTTTATCCTTGTTTTCTGTTTTAAGTTTTTGAAAAATGTATTTATTTTGCGCCATTCTAGTTTGTAGATAGAATATTTAGTAGAAGAGAGTGAGTGTTATAGCATGAATACCTACTGTAGTTGTTCTTATATTTATTCTTTAAATGCTAAAATATATATCACTGATAACTTCTAGATTAAATACTAGAGTTTGTTAAAAATGTGTAAATAACAAATTTATTGAAAGCTTGATATTAAGTTAACTATTTATTAAACTATACAACTTCAATTGTTTAATATTTTTTTTGTTTATAGTAAGAATTCAATCAATAAAAGAATGTCAGCTCTTGCATCATTAACTGCTAATTATACAGACTCTGAAGATGAAGGTACTACACCCAGTCAACGTAGACATATTGAAGAAGTGTCTATTTCAAATGTACCTCAGGAAGAACATGTACCCAGTCCTCAATTACAAATACCGAATTCGGCTCCAGCTGTAACTAATCCAGATGATGACAAAAAAACTAATCTTGTATCATATTTTGAAGATCACGATATTGTGATGTCAGATGAGGAAATAGACAGACGTTCAGATGTAGATGAAGAAGATATTTTACCGCCAGAACCTCATGGCAGATGCTCTAAAGAACTCCAAGATAAAATTACTCGATTGCATGAAAAAATGGAAAAAGATGGCATGGATATGAATTTTTTAATCCAAAAAAGAAAAGATTTTCGAAATCCTAGCATATACGAAAAACTTTTACAATTTTGTAATATTAATGAATTGGGCACCAATTATCCACCACATCTATATGATCCATTAAGATGGGGCAAAGAATCATTTTATGAAGAATTGGGTCGCTTGCAGAAAGAAGATATGGAAAAGAGACAGAAAGAAAGAAAAGAAAAAACTAAAGTAAGTTCTGTGTGCTTGATAAATTTAGATCATTTTTAATATGTTACTGATTTCAATTATAGGTTGAAGTTGTGTCTGGTACGAAAAAGACTTCATCAATCAATGTTTCAAGTTCCCATAAACAAGATGACAAGAAAAGTAAATGGGATCTGACAACATCTGTAACAGGTACAAAGGGAACAATTATCTCAGCTTTTGGTTCTTTACCGAAAAAACAAAAATTGGATATTCATTAATCAAGTACCTATCTAAAATGTAATATTATGTAACATTGTAAATAAACTATTATCTAAAAATTATTTTAATTTTTGAATAAAAGACATAAAATGCAAACCAGTTTATCATCATTATAATTAAATTTAGCATTTGACTTTTGTAATTTAATTATATAAATATATAATACAATAAAAAAAAACATCTGAATTAGTTGTTTTATATAGTAATATATGTTCAAACAGATAGTTTATACCTAATAGTTAATACTGTACATTTCTACTTATATGCAAGTCCTATTACACAATATTAAATTACATTTTTATCATTAAAAGCAAACCGAAAAATATTAAATATATAATATTATTATCGATAAAAATGTACATAATATATAATTTATCATATTTTATTTTATTTTTGAAGAAAAGACAAAAATAATTAAATAAAAGTAGTTAAAAGGTAAACATTAAAAAATATGGTATGTTAATTATTTTAAGCGCCAAATAATTAAATACACTTAACATAGCAATGGCAACAGCAACAACAACAACAACAACAACAACAAAGCTTAATAATAATGTAATAGGTTACATAATATCATTGATTTTATATTATTATTAAATTAGTACATATAAAATAAATGCATACTAAACAAATTGTTAATTTTTTTTTTATAGTTTAATTGAAATGTGTGTAAATAAAAATGTTGTTATACTTACAACGACGCAATGTGAATACTGAATACAGTGAGTTAGATATTCTATTAATTTAATAACTATATACTATACTATGATTGAAGAAACAAGTATGAGTTTAAACACAGACTTCTATACTGAGTATACTATAATAGTAATATAGTATACATTTATACTTATACAGTACAGACGTATGATTATGTACTATGTAGTGTATTAACTACACACAATAACACAAAAAAAGGTATACTTGGTAAACATAGAAGTCTGTGACTCTGAGTTGAGAAAGATCAAATGAGTAGGTAAACTTATAATTTATCGTAATTACCGTTTAAATAAAATGACAAGTAACTAGTTAGTATAGTTTATGGTGCACATTTATAAGTTTATAATTAGGGCTGAAATCTCAATGCATTGTTTTCAAAGCTAGTTACAAAATATTCGTTTTATAACATATATTAACGTTTATACGTTTCATGTATTTTTGAGGCAGAATAATAAGTTTTTATTTTGCATTTATATTTAATTGACAATTTTCAGTTTTAAGGTAATTATTTTCAATTTTTAAGTCATATTTAGGGTATTTAACACCGGTGTTATAAAATTTTATTTAAAATTTTTTTTTTTTAAAGTAATTTAGTAACGTACTTACTAGGTTTTAAATCTTAATTTTCCGAACTCACGGATCTGTACCTATTAACGTTAAAGTCGAGACTACAAAAATTAAATGGGAATAATTATTTTTTTCAAATTAAAAGTATACGTAGATGACTTGAAATTGTGCAATCCTTGCAAACTGTTTATTAAATTTGTTGAAAAATATTTTTTTTGTTTCAAAACTTGTTACCTAATAATAAAAAAAATTTTTAGGATTTTTTATGATATCAATTTCCCGTGGGTATGGCTGCAGAGGTACGTCCTCGTTGGTAAACGGCAGGTATCATATAGCAGTGGCATACAGTCAGGATTTTGCGTTAGTGGTGTTGACGGGAGAATACATTTTTATGTATGGGAGGCTTAAATAGTATATATTTGGTGTGCCAGCGGTTCTTATCAGGTCACAGGTAGTAGGTACGCAATACAAATCTTGCTAAAGAAATAATTAGAAATAATTTTTTTCTGGATAAAAAAAAATTATATTAAATTTTAACACTTAACATTATTAAGTGAATAAACTTGCGTATGGTAAACACTAGAATAATTTGAGACTGAATAGGATACCAATATAACCATTAAAGTCTAGGTACTTAAACCACAATAATAAATATAATAATAACAATAACAAAGTGACATAAAAAATAATTAAATATTCAATTTTACTTTTTGGTGGAATAAATGCATATTTTTTCAAAATTATTTGGTTTTGAGAATAAATTATAGGTAACCTTAATACCTACATGGCTGCGTCTTACGTAGTTACGTAATACTTTCACAAAACAACAAAACCATTTTTAAATTTTCCTTAAATTTCTGGTAGTAGTGCTGCAGCCTCCCTGGCTACGCCACACAATTACCTCGTACCTACAACACTATAGGTAGGTAGATATGATTATTATTAGATTAAAATATCGATGGTTAAGTGGAAATTATCACTAGAATTCTAAGGTTCACATTAAGTTTCACACATTTTTAATAAATATCATTATTAATTTTTAGGTAGGTAGGTACGTTATATCCTATTGAATCGGTTTGGATAGACCAAATAGGGCGTAATATGACGAGCGCCGAGTGATTATAGGTACCAACCATGTTCTTCCCACCTACACATACAAAGTACCGATAAGTTTGTATCCATATTCTATACAAAGTAGAGCCTATTGCATTATATACATCATATCATAAGGTGTGTTAAAGGTTATTAATACATAATATTATCATGTCGGCGATGCCATTTAGTTCTTGTACATGTCGCACAAGACTTTTTCCATCGGTATGTTGCCGATGGTCCGCTGAAAGAATATAGCTTCGATCCTGGCGGCCGGCACGTTTTTCAGCAGCGGCAACATGAGCAGCAGCCGACCAAATCGGACAGGCTGGCCGGGGTGCTGGTTCCTGGTGTGTTGACCGAGCATGACGTGCGCCTGGTCCTGCAGGTTCTCCACTTGTATCGGGTCTTTCAACCCCCTTGTGTCTAAAACAATCGTCGTCGATTGATTATCATCATAACTCATAATATAGTTATTATTATTTGGCAGGTATATTTTATATTGTACGTAGTCACATATTATATATATATTACACTGCTGATGGGTGTTTCAGACATCAGTGATCAGTTATTGTTCCGTGCCTACACACTTAGCCCTCGGGCGAGGATAAGAGCGAGACTTGCTTATTGTTCGGAAAGACTATAATATTGCGTTTTGTGAGTGCGGGATTTTGAAGGTAGGTACTTACGATGTCTGTCTCGTTCAAATTTCGACTTATTGCAATAATAAATACATCACGATAATTTCCGCAACCCAAAACCTCTTATTTGTATGTCACTCAATTTTTGAGAAATTCAGAAGGGGGAGTCACGAAACATGTTTTATTCATATTATTTTAAAATTGAATTTTACTCATAGGTAGGTAATTATATTTTTGAAACGGCTGTAGTCTGCAGGTCTACGAGCTTTAGATTTTACAATATTTTTCAAGTGTAAAAAACTGTCGTTTATTCTGCACGATAATTTCGTTTTTATCAATATAACGCTATAGGTTAGGTACCTAAATCTATAAAGTTTAAGTTTTGTTATTGTCAGTCGTAATGACGTTTTAGGAAAATATGTTTGGTACGGTTGTAAAGAGGATATAGTGAATATAGTGGTGCTCATGAATTATAATTTTACTCTACTTACTAGTAAAACACCCCCCCCCTCTCTTAAAATTGGCCACCACGCACTGATTACCGTATATTATTATTATGAAAATAATTTTAAAAAATTGCGATCGTTACCGGCTCTAAACAAAACGATAGCCTTCATGCACGCGAACTCGGCCGGGTCGACACTGATGGTCCTGAATCGGCGTAGGGTTTCGTTGAGTACGCGTATGTCGGCTGCCACTTGGCTGGCTTTGCCGTTCGGTATGGCCGCCACGTGATCTGACGGGTTGAAAAGTGGGTTGTTTTCCAGTGGCAAACACCACTGAACCGCGTTCAACAGGAACAATTCCGACCAACATTCTTCTAAGAGTATCACCTATAATATAATATAGCAATAAAATAAAAAAAATGTTTTCGAACCCTATCGTATAAAATAATTTAAATAATATAATGTTATTGTGTACCTATAACTATAAATTATAATATGTACCTAAACTTAGTAGGTAACCTATAGAATATTGTAACTTTTAATAATTTATTAAAGTTGCGAATTTAGTGGGGCCAAGGGAGGCAATTTCCCCGGGCAGCACTTTTTGGAGGGCAGTAAATTCTTGTGAAACTTTTTTGTCGAAAACAGTTGTATCTACAAATTACAATGATTTAGGCAACAAAAAGTTCTAATGTTGTATTAACATCTTAATACAAAGCTTAAAGCTATTCTTAATAGCTATTCTGTGCGATCAATCTCCACATCTGATAATATGCTTTTATCGTTGAATACTAAAACCTATTTTTCTGTACCTATAAACTAAACATTTTTAGTGGGCAATGGTGTTAGTACTATATTATCAAAAATGGTAAATTTTACATTAGAGCGTTTTTAATATTTAATAGCTTACAGACTGCAGTAATTTGTAAGTTATCTTCAGTCACATATAAGTATGACAAATTTTATTTGAAAATTTCTTGGGGAAAGGGAATTAAAAAAAAAATGTGTATCCAGGGCATCAAAATCCCAAATATACGCCACTGCGTATATAATATGTATTGAAGAATAAAGCGGGATCGATTTATAATACATCGGCCAATACGCATTATAATATACAGTTTAATGCACCTGCAAGTATATGTATATAGGTACGTATATACGTATATGCTGCTCATTTTGTCATTTAATCGTACATTTGTTCAAATTCCATATTTCAGAATTTATTAGTATAAGTAGGTACCTAGGTAACCTACCTTAATTAATGGCTGATTTTCAAATGCTATGTTCTTTTGATGACATTTACATTTTTTTGTGTATTGATATTGTACAAAATCCTTACCTGGTCTCTGAACGGAAGAGACGCGAAAGACGGCAAGTTTTTGGCCCACTTGACGGCCATGAAAAGCAGACGGGCGGATGTCTCGTAAACGTTCTCATGTAGACCGGGGTAGAATGACGGATGATGGTCGTACATCGAATGGTGTTGGGTAAGAGGTATCGGAACTGCCGGTGGCGAAGACGACGCCCTTTTGTTGT